AGGTAAGCACTCGGTATTGGGGATGTGGTGCTGGGAATAAGGCTACATCTATGCTGCCTTTTTTTCCGGTAAAGATATGCAAATCATGCTCTCATTTGCATATCTTCTGCTGATTCTTTTTGCGGAAGAGGTTTTGCCGCCAAAAGGCCCTGTATAGATGGGAGCATTTGTCAGAAAAAAACCCCTTTTTAACACAAGATCCCTTATTCCTCAAAAAATGAGGTTTACAGGATCTTGTGCAAGAGGGTTTTTTCCCAACAAATAGCCCCGTCTACACGGGGCTTTTTAGTGGCAAAACCTCTTTTGCAAAAAGGATCGGGAGAAGATATGCAAATGAGTGTGATTTGCATATCTTCAGCTGAAAAAAATGGCAGTGTAGATGTAGCCTAACTGAGCATGCTCAAACGTGTTGCTATTTAGGAATGATGACACACTGTGTCTCTGGAATACTTTTCATCTCTCTTTATAGTCTCATTGGAGATTATGCTCCAGTAACGTGTTCCCAATTGTGTGGGTGACTTATCTCACACTGGGCTACTTAGCACGTGGCCCACGGCCTGTTTGTTTGCGGCCCGCAGTGTGGTTTGGGTCTATGTGGGGCTCAACACACGGCCCACGGATGGTATCCTTTGAACATAGCCTCCACTGAACGGTGAGGCGTCTACCAGGTGGGGTGAGCATTGAAAGACGCAAGCGGATGGGCTGGCTGGATCAGAAGGGTACAGGGTATTGGTGTTTCTAGCCTCCAGGGAGGAGGTTCCGGGAGCGCTGGGGCATTGTAGGAAGTGCTGGCTGCTTAGCCTTGTGGGAAGAGCCTGAGAGGTGCTAACTGTCTCACACTGGCCACCTTTGGGTTCGGTGCTGCAGCTTAAGGCTTAATTTTTGTATTCATGCCCGTCAGTGTGAAAGAAGCTATTTGCATTTATATTTGCATGTATATGCAACCACACTTAAGTTGCTGCCTTCGGCATATGCTGTGAGTATCATTGTGGCCCCCGGGGCTTCCAAAGTTGAGTAGCCCTGTCTTACACCATGCATGTTCATCATCTGCCGGTGTTAAGAAAGTTCCTACAGATACAGTTCAATATCTTATTTGACAGTGAGGCATACAGATTGATATCCGTAGTGTGATGTAACATATCAAGCATTGGAATGTCTGGTTTGTGTAATAAAATATGCATTATACATGCAAACTGGATAATTGTGATAATTATGTGGGAAAATGAACCATTCTGTTGCATGCACATTTCACACAAGCAATTATTCAGCTAACTCATTTCGAATCTCATACTGTTATACATTCATAGTATCTGTGCTAATATGCAATAATTTGAACAAAATTATTAAGCTGAAGTTAAGCAGATGTAGAACATGAAGTTACTTGCTTTTTCCCATTGTGCGGGATGGAATAAGAGAAGCATTTGTGATGGTGCAGCGAATCACTGGGTTTTACCTAAGTCCTTCTTTTGTCCCTTCGAGGCAGTTTTAGAGTTTCAATGTTAGGGTTAGCAATGTCCCACCTTCCAAATGTATGGAATTGATGATAGCCTCTCAGAAGGAAACTAACACGCTTGATATGATCATCAGATTGGAAGTCTGGCATGCAAAGGAACATTCTGTAATTTGAATGGAGCCTACCACATATAAAAAGGGGAGGGGGGGGGGGGGGGAGGAGAGAGCTCCCAGGACTGGTGCAGGTTTACTGGGCCTCAGCTGCCAGGAAATGTATCATTTCAGTATTGAGATGCAGGGTCTAGTCACACACCAAGAAAATGAGTGGGGTCCTGCCTCATTTGAGCCCCAAGTGCATGTGGGCTAAAGTTGTTACACTGAAATTACCTACAGAAACTTTTCCACACTTCATAGAGGAGCCTTTGATAATGAACAGCAGATTTTGCAATAATAATAGGAATTAATAAAAGGCATTGAACGTGTAGTTCAGAAATACCATTCCAAATTGAGTTTCAGAAGCAGGTCTGAGTGGTCCATTCTGAGTTGTCATTAGAATTGCCTTTAATTTGTGCAAAATCCCATCTCAAATCCTGCACTCACATCTACCTGGTATCTATCAGCTCTGATATTCTTCTCTCAGAGCATGGCTCAGTGAAGCGAATAGCTTTTCTGCATCTGGAAGGCATGCAGAAGATCTTGGTATTTTGGGCAAAAATAACGCATTGCGTCTGAGCAGACAGGCCATGACCACATCCAGTTGGAAACGTCCAAACACTTTCATAAACTCCACAAAAAGGAAGAATTAAAAAAAAGTTTAATCAGATTAGACAGGCTAGAGTGTGGGCGTTGCCTTAAAGATGCTTTTGTTGGAGATCACAATGAACAGAAAGAACACAGCTAATTAGGCTGCAATTGCCGGTGGTTTGTGGTCCTAAAAAGGGCTTGTGCTGTGCTTGCTCCTAACGCAGTTATTTATTTCCTTGGAGGCTTCCAGCAAGAGTTAAAGGGTTTAAAGGGAAGCCTTGCTTAAATCATTTAAAAGTTTCCAATAGGGGCCCCTTTGTTAGATTTCTGAACAATGCGTCTCCTTTGTTAAAAATGGGGAAAATCAGAAAATGCAGTTCATGAATGTTTGCATGAATAGGGCTGAAACATGAAGGATGAGGAGCAAGGTAGTGTGTGTGAGTGAATGACAACCAGATGTTACCATGAGTAAATAAGAGAGGAAGGGAAAACGGTTGTGAAAATAATTCACTTGTTTTTAGAAAAACTTGCTGGAAATCGGCTGTTTCCACAGAAACTGGCTGATCGATTTATGCCAAAAGTCAAGCACAAGCATCACCTGGGAATAGTACAGGGCTGAGCTGCTCATTTGACTTGTTGACAGTAATGATTAGCTAATAACTTTATCTCCATCATGGTAGCAGCTGGAACATCTGGGTTCAATCCACTTAATGTGAACTCATCCAGATTTTAATCAGAACTGGCATAAGAATTTTATTCAGAGGTCAGTCACTGAAACCCAGCATCCATGCTTCTTTGTTACCTGTGGCTGTGGCTGGAAGAATTGGCCCCCTGTAGATCTTTGCAGGCAACACAGACGTAGCCTTCAGTGTCATGTAACACTTTTAGCAGATAGAAGGGTACTTTCCCCTTTCCAGTCTTGGCAATATAAGATTCTAAAAATAGTCCAGTTAATACAGGGAATGGTACAAAAATGTGCATAGAATACACTATACAGCAAGGCTACTCAACTTTGGAAGCCCCGGGGGCCACAGTGATACTCATAGCACATGCCAAGGGCAGCAACTTGAGTGTGGTTCCTTATACATGCAAATATATATGCAAATATATGCAAATAGTGTATTTCACACTGACGGAAATGAATACAAAGGT